GATAAGTAAATTTTAAAAAATAAAAATAATATTTCTAGTAAGAAAATATTTGGACCATTAGTTTCCATTGTTTTTAGATGGAGCACCAACTACTTACATCCATATTTAAGATGGATGCTTTACACTTTTTGAACCGCATATGTAGTTATGCGGTCCAGCTCGCATGAAACAATTTTTCTTTATAGAAATATGAAAATAAGATATTATTTAGGTGTGACATTGTCGCAAAGTATATGTTTTATCTGCGAGTGAAGCCTCATGTAAATTTCTCTTGTATATAAAGGAAAATCTCCAATAAATATGAAGTTTTTATCTTGCAAGTATCGCCCACTTGGACGTTTTTTTGGCCAAAATATGGTAAAAATGTGTTGAAATATTTGCAGAGCTAAGGGAAGGAATTTTTTTTTGTGGGTAGTAGTTTAGTAGCAGGAATCGAACTTGAGATGCAGCACTTCACATCAATTGCTGACCACTCAAGCTCAAGTCTGATTCCTAAACTAAAAGGTATTCTTTATGAATTCAATTCATTTTCCACCAATTCTTCCTTCCTTTTTGATAGGTGATTAACATTTATGCCCCTTTTTGCATCCAAAAGAGAGCATATTTTATGAGAAGCCTCATGTAAAAATCATGAGAAGGATAGGGCCAGTCTCAAAATGGTGCCTAGATGATTTCTTCCTTTTCTACTATTATAGGATGAGGGGAAACTTTTTTTTTTTTAAGTGCTGGCTTTTATTGAATATTCAAAATTCAGTGGCATTTTCTACACGCTGGGGGGTTCTGAAAACGATGGAGATGAGCGTGTTGCACTTATGTTCGGAAGATGATATATATTTATAGGAAAAGCAAGATGATATATATTTATAGGAAAAGTATAGAATAAGATTATTTATCTTAAATACAAGGTGGTCACAATTAATTGCGACCATTGGATGTGAAATTGGATGGCGGTATTTATTTCATTGACCAAGCTCAAACTTCAAAAGACTTTGTGACATATCTAAGCTATTAGATTTCACATCGGATGGTTGGAAGTAATTGTCACCTCCTAGTATCATAGGTAAATAATCTTATTGTGTATACTGCCATATTAATAGTGGGTATAGTCTTATTGTGTACACTGCCATATTAATATTGGGTAGTTACATCAGTAAAAATCGAACTTAAGATGTAGCGTTGCCAATCACTAAGCCCAATCTTGATTGCTGGTGGAGGAAGATAACAGTTAATTGGGATGCTTGGATGTCGAAATAAAATCGTTCTATCAAGGGTAGATTTTCTAATTTCAAGATAGTGTGGCTCATCATCTAAACCTAATAAGCATGGTTAATTTGATTGTATCCACTAATACAAATTAGCAATTATATATACAAACAAGACAAAATATATATATATATANATATATATATATATATATATATTANAAGGAAACGGACGTACACC